CAAAACCACCTTCTCCCAACTAGAAAACACATGTAGATTGATTGGGCGAACTCCCACGCACCCTTCAGGACCCCTAAGGGTATAGAGCTGGTCCAGAGTTCCACGACCAACGCAAAAACCACATTGCTCTTCCTGAATCTGAGGTTCGACGGACCCTCCTCTCCACAACCCCTGAACAGACCTTACAAGGGAGGCTCAGGAGTGTGATCCCCCTGTAGTTGGAATACATCCTGCGGTCTCCCTTTTTAAATAGGGGGACCACCAACGCGGTCTACCAGTCCAGTGGAACTGCCCCCGATGTCCACGCGATATTGCAGGCAACGCAACCCTACCATATCCTGAGCTTTTAGAAACTCCGGGCAGATCTCATCCACCCCTAGAGCCCTAGAGTTTCCTCCGTAGGGTGGCCGGGCTCAGATGCCAGATGGTGGACCAGAATCTCCTCGAAGCCATATGGATGTTTTGTTCCATGGTCTCACCGAACTCCTCCCACGTCCGGGGTTTTTGCCTCCACTCCATGTCTTTATAACACATCTAAATCATGCTTAGCTGTGGCTCTACGGACTGAATTTAAATAAAAGAAAACTTTATTATGCTTAATAAATATTTATAATCTAAAGTGTGAAACCCGTCACTAAGCTCAGAGGTGACAGAGCTTTTTTTTCCGTAGCGGCCCCTAGGCTTTAGAATGCACAGCCAATGCCCATGAGGTTAGGATCTTCTCTGTCCTGTTTTAAATCACTCTTGAAAACCCATTTTTATTCTTTGACTTTTAACATGGCATGAGAATCTTTTAGTTTTCATGTATTTTTATGATGCATCTGTTTTTAATTCAGTTTAATTCTATGAAGCACTTTGGTCAGTTTTGTACTGTTGTAAGGTGCTATACAAATAAAGTTGCTTGGTTTGACTATTTATTATTGACTAATTATAAACAGTATGTAGCACAAATTGTTATTTATCATATCTAAATATATAAACAAGCCTTAAGTTGTAACATTAACTGAAACTATATAATACCTCTTTAAAGTAGACCTGCTTTTTGGCCTTTTTGATTAACTTGTTCTGAAATGTTTAATAAATCAACTTTAGACAAATAGAAATATAGAACAGATTTGATTCACCATCTGACAAGAAACCAGTTTCTTTCTTGCCTTTAAATATTGCATAGTAACTATTTATTAACAATTTATAATTTAAAACCATTTGTTAGCTGTTTAAAGTGGTAAATCAAGCGTGCAAGGCAAACTTGACAACGATGAAAAGGTTTGTCAGAGTTAGCATGAACTGATATGACTTGTTTTTAAATGGGAGCAGCACAGACTTGGATTAGCTGTTAAAGGTGCATTATGTAAAAATGAAGTAAGACCGACATCATCTGGTTAAATTTGGGTACTGCAACCAATTTTCCAAACAAACAACTTAATTTTTCACTTCCTCTCAGAGTTTCATGGCTGTTTCCAGTTACGGCTCAGCGCCAAAAGACTATAGATGATAAGAAAAGACAAGTCATACAAGTAAAGTTGATTAAAACACTTCACTCTAAAATCGAGTTGTTGGTAATCGAAACAGTAACTTGAGATATTTTAAAAGCTGACTCTTTGAGGTGCACACTATATCGACATCAGTATCGGTATCGGCCGATTTTAGTAATTTTTTAACATATCCGTATCGGTCCGATAAATAAAATTGGACCGCTATTTACAACCGCTATATTTTCCACCTTGTTTATCTGTTTAAGAGGATGAGGGGCATGATATGTATTTGTTTAGTCACGTGGCTGTAATCTTCTCAGAAGCCTAAATAAGTGTGGTGTGTGTACATAGTATGGTAAATTCAGCTTTAGTAATTTTCATTCTATACAAAATCTGCTGATTTTAGAAGCATTAATGTCATATTGTATCCGCAAATGTCGATTATCAGCCATAACAGTGATATCAGTATCGACCCCAAATTTCCTATCGGTGCATCACTACTTCTAATTCACCGTTAGTATTGTTAGCTCATTGTGGGCCTCCAGCCTGCTTTACGCGATGAAGACAAACAAAAAGATAGCTTATTTTAGTGATACAAGAAATAACTTCTGGGTCGCTCCTGTTTACTGACTTAGGATCTTTACAAAATGGACGGCGTCGAGTTACAAATGCCAGCTCTGCAGCATTAGCTGATGCAAACTTGGCAAGCAAGATTACTTTGTTTTTCCTTCTTCTTTCTTTGTCAAAGGAGAAAAACAAACAACCACCCAGAGATAGAAATATGTTTCAATGTAACCTCCAACATGACTGAGACATTAAAATGCTTTGTGATTATTTCGCTGTAGATTTGTTACTTATTGCACCTTTAACTTGCCAGTCAGGTCAGAATTGCAATTTTTCTAAAAAGAAGTTATTTAAAGATCTACAACAGAAACTAAATGTTCAGAATTGAGATCTGCATCAAACAATCATGACTATTTAACTAAATAGATTTTATTCTTATTTTTTTATTTAAATAGTATAAAACATTGCTTGAAAATTTTATTTTGTAAAAAAATCTTTGTGAGTTACTTCAGTTCATTTTGTAACCACAGGTAGAGGTATTATTTTGACGATTTTGCTTAACCCTTATATAACCTTTTAATTTTCTAACGTTTCTGGTGTTTGAGCTCAAGAAAATGCACATACAAAACTTCCTATTGAAATATTATATAATATTTCACATGTCTCAATTTTTTTACATCCTTGGCTTCAGCCCTGACAAAATATAATGAAAAAAATGTGTCTGTTTCTAAGATTTAACCTCTTTATTGCCAGGTTTATGATCAACACCAGAATTGTTTAAAAAAAATTATTTAAAAAATTGAAAAATCAATTAAGTTTTGTCATTTATGTTCAGATTACCTGTTTTGGGGTTAAACTGTCACAGCATTGGAGTGTCACAAGTAGGCATGAAAATGTTTTTTGCTCACTTTAAAGTTTTTGTGTAAATTAATGTTTTATAAAAAAGTGACAATTTCAAACTTAGTGCACAAAAAATGCAGACACAATACTCCCTCATAAATTATTTCATAACTCCCAATTTCTTTACATTAATCTTGTTCTTTATATATATATATATATATATATATATATATATATATATATATACATACATACACACATATATATATATATACACATATATATGTATAAATATACAGGGAGTGCAGAATCATTAGGCAAGTTGTATTTTTGAGGAATAATTTTATTATTGAACAACAACCATGTTCTCAATGAACCCAAAAAACTCATTAATATCAAAGCTGAATGTTTTTGGAAGTAGTTTTTAAGTTTGTTTTTAGTTTTAGCTATTTTAGGGGGATATCTGTGTGTGCAGGTGACTATTACTGTGCATAATTATTAGGCAACTTAACAAAAAACAAATATATACACATTTCAATTATTTATTTTTACCAGTGAAACCAATATAACGTCTCCACATTCCCAAATATACATTTCTGACATTCAAAAACAATACAAAAACAAATCAGCGACCAATATAGACACCTTTCTTTGCAAAGACACTCAAAAAGCCTGCCATCCATGGATTCTGTCAGTGTTTTGATCTGTTCACCATCAACATTGCGTGCAGCAGCAACCACAGCCTCCCAGACACTGTTCAGAGAGGTGTACCGTTTACCCTCCTTGTAAATCTCACATTTGATGATGGACCACGGGTTCTCAATGGGGTTCAGATCAGGTAAACAAGGAGGCCATGTCATTAGTTTTTCTTCTTTTATACCCTTTCTTGCCAGCCACGCTGTGGAGTACTTGGACGCGTGTGACGGGGCATTGTCCTGCATGAAAATCATGTTTTTCTTGAAGGATGTAGACTTCTTCCTGTACCACTGCTTGAAGAAGGTGTCTTCCAGAAACTGGCAGTAGGACTGGGAGTTGAGCTTGACTCCATCCTCAACCCGAAAAGGCCCCACAAGCTCATCTTCGATGATACCAGCCCAAACCAGTACTCCACCTCCACCTTGCTGGCGTCTTCGGACTGGAGCTCTCTGCCCTTTACCAGTCCAGCCACGGGTCCATCCATCTGGCCCATCAAGACTCACTCTCATTTCATCAGTCCATAAAACCTTAGAAAAATCAGTCTTGAGATATTTCTTGGCCCAGTCTTGACGTTTCAGCTTGTGTGTCTTGTTCAGTGGTGGTCGTCTTTCAGCCTTTCTCACCTTGGCCATGTCTCTGAGTATTGCACACCTTGTGCTTTTGGGCACCCCAGTGATGTTGCAGCTCTGAAATATGGCCAAACTGGTGGCAAGTGGCATCTTGGCAGCTGCGCGCTTGACTTTTCTCAGTTCATGGGCAGTTATTTTGCGCCTTGGTTTTTCCACACGCTTCTTGCGACCCTGTTGACTATTTTGAATGAAACGCTTGATTGTTCGGTGATCACGCTTCAGAAGCTTTGCAATTTTAAGACTGCTGCATCCCTCTACAAGATATCTCACTATTTTTACGTTTCTGAGCCTAAGTCCTTCTTCTGACCCATTTTGCCAAAGGAAAGGAAGTTGCCTAATAATTATGCACACCTGATATAGGGTGTTGATGTCATTAGACCACACCCCTTCTCATTACAGAGATGCACATCACCTAATATGCTTAATTGGTAGTAGGTTTTCGAGCCTATAAAGCTTGGAGTAAGACAACATGCATGAAGAGGATGATGTGGACAAAATACTCATTTGCCTAATAATCCTGCACTCCCTGTATCTATATATATATCTATCTATCTATCCATCTATCCATCTATCTATCTATCTATCTATCTATCTATCTATCTATCTATCTATCATCTATCTATCTATCTATCTATAAACATTTACATATATGTACGGTATATAAATTGTTTTTATCAGTTATTTGCACACCAAAAAAATCATAATTTGGTTTAGTCTTGTGGTTATGCAGATTCTCACCATTCATGGAAAACAAGCAGACATAAATTCATCAGTAAGGACACACATTTCCAACAACTTCTCCATAAAACTGAGTTTATTAGATTGTTAAAAATAAGGCTATGATAAGATTTTAGCAAAAGTTTGACTAGGAGGAACCACAGTTAGGACGTCCAGAGGAACCCTGGTGCTACAGCTAAATGTGACCAGTCTGGGGGTTTCAGACAAAACACACACATCTGCCACACATCTGGAGGGGGAAAAAAAGACATACAAATACACATGTTTGCACTCACATCCATCCACCCAAAATGGTGGCAACAAACTGAAAAGCAGCAGATGAAAGACTAGTTTTCATTCAAAAAATTAAATAAAAACATGCATAGATTTGCACATCAAGTTTTCAAAATATTGTATATGTTTTGTTTTATTTTATTGTATTTTTATTTTTTTTTTCTAAAAAAATCCCACATGATCATCATGATTGTGTTTTATTGAACCATTATTAACAATCATGTAAACTTACTGGACTATGTTGTTCATGTAGAAAGTTACATTCTGAGCCCAGACGGACTCCATAACCAAGAAAAAGAAATAAATACTGGAATGGTAAACACACAAATAGAAAATGACTGCTCTGAAATGGACGTAAGACGAAGCTCATTGGATATAAAAACAAATCTGCTCGATGGTGGCGAGTCAGTCAGTCATTAAAACACTTGTTATTGACTCACAAAATGGATACAAAACAAATAAAACAGAAAACCTAAAATCGTTTTCATTTACAAACAAACTAAAAGTCTTTAGTGCTGCGTGATCCTCCTTTAGTGCATCTCTGTTACACAATCAGACACAACCTTGAAAATATACAGTCCCAAAAATATGTGACTCACAAATGAATCCATCGTTTTCCTTAATCCTTTGGTTCTAACTGGACTAAAAACCTCCACACACTCCGGACACTTAGTGTTGATGATGTTATTTACACACACTCCTCAAAACCTTTAGGTGACACCCAACCCTTTAAAGTGCCAGCGAGCTGAAGCAAACAGGAAGCACTGATCTGTTGGCAAACACGGGACAAAGTTTTAACACACTTTTAGGCTAACGCTAAATTCACACAAGGATTCAAAGTGCTTAAAATTAATTCCAAACTAATAAGTATTAAATACTAATTCTAACTTTTGAATTGTTCCTAAAAACATTTATCCTTCTCTTCTGAGGAGCTTTACATAATACCAGGAGTTTGATGCTTATAAATTCAACATTTCACACGAAAGCTCCACAAATAAGAAGCTGGGCGTCCCAAAGATTTAAGTTCCCTTAGCTCATCTGTTTAGGTCTGCATCCCTCTGGGCTGGAAACTGTTGGCACCAACTGGAGACACAACTGTGACAAAACACATTCATTCATGTATCTTTTCTACTTTACTTCGGTTGTTATCAGTAATTAAAGTTTGGAAATTTTGATTAAAAAAAAAAGAAGGAAAAAAAAGGCCTTTATTTGCTACTTTAAACTGAAGCAGCAGTCCGGAGTTTCCCTCTTACAGGAATTATGCAAATCCACACTGCACTGTGATATAATGTGAGCAGTACGCTATTTTGTTGTTGCTAAGCCTGTCCCCCATCTCGTAGAGCCTCGTGCAATTTGAATTGAATGCTGCTCAGAACTAGCCAATAGCATTAGACATCTGCATAGATAGAGATGTTAATCACGCGTTTGAGGATGTAACTGCAGATGCAGAGTTGAGGAATTTTCTTGTCGACAAGTAAGTCTTTAAAAGAAAAGACAGCATATTGTAAGGTGTTTTAGCTGTTAGCCGACTAGGGGAGCGCGCTTAGGAACGAGAGCCAGGAGGCTTCCAGCCATAATTACGAAAGTAGGAAGAAGGGCTTAAGGTGCAATTCCTTTGTTATGCCTCTAGGTGGTGCCGGTTGAGGAAAAACACAGAAATTCAGCTTTTTATCTGAATTTGTTTGCAAATGACCTGGTACCAGTCTGAAGCCTAATTTATACTTCTCTGTTGGCTCCACGTGGGAGAGACACTGACGGAGACATTTTGCCCTCATACTTCTCCGTCTTCTGGGGAGTGTTGCAAAGCAATTCCCCGCCAGGACAATAGAGGGCGTAGCGCTGTTCTGTGGTATCCTGTCATGCATCCGGTCCAAGATGGTGTGTCTATATTGTGTTTTTGTATGTCAGAGACTTTTTAAGACAGATAAATTTGTCCCTCATCCTCCTCCACCTCTTCATGCACTCGCCACCTCTAAACCCACATTTCCCGCCATTTCCATCCACGAATAGGGCTTGTGATTGTGACGTCATCACCGACGCGTCCGCCCCATTGGAGGCGTGAGTCCTTACTTGTTGCTTGTTACTACTGTAAGCAGCACGCTCAGTCTCGTTCTTGCGGCTTAATCTATTATACATTTGATTGGTTATATGACACAACTCTAGTAAATCATTACTGTGTTGTGGGGTGGCCTATGTGATCGCCAGGGGAACAAAGGTGGAAAACAAGCTAACTTTTCACCATTTTCCTGCTTGGAGGCTAAACCACGGAGACCATCATCTGGAGTATTTTCATTCTGGTAAGTTACAGATGGTGTATGGTTTTTATACACTTTCTTTCCTTCAACTGCGACATGCACATGAAACACACACACACACACACACAGAGGCTAAACTCGCATACCGGTGAGCTAATGCGGGTGCACTGACACTCAACACAACTTCTCTTACTACACTTCTTCTGTGAGATGACAACTTTGACCGTTTTACTAGAAAAATCAACAAATGAAACGTTTACCTCTCATCCAGACGTTTACATCCGCTCACACCACAAACAAGAAAGCCGAAATTGTCCGTTATGCAGAACTGCAGCGCTAACAATACGTCATCAGTGCTCCGGTCTTGGGTCTTTCATGTGGATCAAAACCATTTATAATGCTGATTTTGTCCACACACCGGTCCCCGGCGTCTTTAAAAAACCACCCAAGTATATTCCCCATCCCTTTTGGGCTTTTATAATGTTGTTTAGAATTTTCTTTCACCCAAATCCGCTTCTTCTCTGCAACAGTACCGTTTGTTTCACGGTGTGTTTACACTCGTCAGCCTTCCAACATGGCTGTGAACATCCCAGAATGCTATGCGTAATCACGTGTGATGACAAGCCCTATAAAATGCTTGCTGCACATCTTTGCACTCCTCCAGTCACAAGGGAATAAAACGTTCCCATTTTTAGAGTTTTTCCAAGAGGTATTCTACAAGCTTCTCCATGTCTGCCGCTAGATATCCTCGGCTCTCTTTTTGTCTTTGAGGGCGCAATGGCAGCGCTGTAGACGACAGCACCATCCTGACCAATCACAAAGCTTGCCTTCTCCGTTTAGACGGACGGTTGTTTAGAAAAGAGAGCTCGACTCTGTCCATGTGAGGGCTCTCCAGCAGGCTCGCAAGTACGGATAATGGCGTTGCGGCCGTCCGTCCCGAAGCTGACAGAGAAGTATAAATTAGGCTTAACGACCAGCAAGTCTGACTCGTTTTAATATCGGATTCTCTCAAAGTCGTCTCTTCTTCTGCCTTGTGGAAACTAAACTGAGACGAGGTCTGGACACCTGCAACAGGAAAATCTGCGGAGCAACTTTTTCAGATGTGTTCAGAAGGATGAAAACCTTCAGGAATGTTTAGAAACATTTTGGAAACTCTCTTGTAAATGAAGATGTGACCAACAGCTGCAGCCCAGTGAGGTAGTGACTCCTGGATGATCCACACCAACATCCTCTGATGTTGCTCATCACAGAGAGAGAGGACGTTTCTGTTTGCTCTCTAATAAAACCAAAACAGTCGGGTGATTGAGTTTTAGTGACTGCAAAACTCCTAAAATCAGATCCCTTTAGAGTTTTAAACCCTTTTTAGTCTTTAGAAACATAAACGACGGTGATGCTGTGGTGTGGGATTTGTCCCGTGAGGACCAGCTTTTCCAACATGCTGCCCAGCACGGACGGACTCTTTAACATCGGCTTAAAACAGAAAAATGTACAAAACAGACTGAAAAGAATCTGGGGGGGGGGGGGCTGCTCTGGTGTCTGAAGAACCCGTCTGACGGGTTTCAATCCAGAGAAGCAGTGACCTGCCAGACGATCAGGTGGCTCCGCTCCGCCTTGGTGGGCGCAGACTGCTCGCTGTCGATTTGCTCGGATAAGCCATCCAGCTCGCAGCCTTCATCACCTGAGGAGGAGGAGGAGGAGGAGTCACGCTCAGCGATACAGGAAACAGTTTGAGTTGTTGTCTGCACTCACCGATTCTGAAGTCGATATATCCCTCTCCTCCACTCATGATCAGGTATGTTTTGGACTCTGAGGGTGCCGAGTCAGAAGATTCTGACGCAGGTTCATCTGAGCCTGAATCAGCACTTCCTGGAGGAGGCATCGCCTGACCTGGAAAAAATAAAAATACCACAAACGGGGTGACGATGACACAGGAGTAAAGTGCTCGCCCTGTAATTGAAAGGTTGCAGGTTCGAGCCCCGCTCAGTTTGTCGTTGTTTCCTTGGGCAAGACACTTAACCTGCCTTGCCTGCTGGTGGTGGTCGGAGGGACCGGTGGCGCCAGTGCTCAGCAGCCTCGCCTCTGTCAGTGCGCCCCAGGGCAGCTGTGGCTACATCGTAGCTCATCCCCACCAGCGTGTGAATGGCTGATTGTGTTGTAAAGTGTCTTGGGAGGGGGGGGGGGGGGGGGGGTTTCCAGGACTCTAGAAGGCGCTATATCAAATACAAGCCAACTACAGATCTTAAAACGTTGGTTCGTGTGGCCTCCTGAGCTTTAGTTTCACGTCTATATTTGACCTAGCTAGGTGTGATCAGCAGGACCGCATAAAGCATGAAAGTAACATTATAATCCTTCATTACTAAAAATAATACTTAAATTTAAAAACAAAAATAAAATCTTTAAACTATAAAATGAAGAGATTAGTGTTCATGTTTGCTAATGCTAATTATACCTTGTGGTCCCTCCGGCTCGCCTCACCACCGTTGGAAACAGAGCTTTCAGTCGCTCTGCTCCTCGGCTCTGGATCTCACTTCCTCCTGACATCCGAAGCACAGACTCCCTCCTCTCATTCCAATCCAAACTCTAAACTCTCCTGTTCAAACTGGCTAACACTCTCTAGCCCACAAACTCTCCACTCTGTAATTTATAGTATATTCTTTGTAATTCTATTGTTTAAACTATCTCATTCTTATTTTTGTGTAAGTTTTATCATGCTTTGTGAGGTGACCTTGAGATTTGAAAGGCGCCTATAAATTAAATGCATTATAATTATTATAATTAGCGCTGGCGGCCATCTTGAACTGGGATGACTGTAAACGCGGATCAATTGTAGATGAACGTCTAATAATTATTATTTAGGAGCCCATGAGATAACACATCACCTGCCTCTCACCTTTCTGGTGATGGGTGGTTTAGGACCTGGACCTGCAGTTTAGCACTACAGAACATTATTTACTCAAACCTGGTAAGATAAATAATTTCAGGTTATTAGCTCATTCAACTGCCAATGATGACAAAAGTCGTCATTGCCATTTTTTTTTACTGTGTGGACGTCGGAACGACGCCCCGCACCGTGAGAACGAACATCTCAGCTCTAAAGCCGATCTTCATCCGCATACGTCACACGTCACGCGATCAGGAAGCAGAAAATCCATGTGTTAGGAGATCGTTTTGGGCCGCTGCTGTAAAAAAAAAAAAAAAAAAACGGAAAAGTTTCTGCCGATCACAATTCAACAACGGATTACGAAAGAACAGATAAAGCTCAAAACGCATGGATTCTTCCTGATGTAAGAAATGAGTCTCCGCTTTGTTTTGGTTGTTTTGGCGTCGACGTCATCCTAGAGCGCAACGTTCTGTGACTCTTAAAATAACAGCAAAAACGGTGAGAAACGCTGGCAGCAAAGGGCTTAACCGATCAGGAAGCGGCTGGCAGTGAAGGAGTTTATTAAATACTTTTCTACTAAAATAAATATTTCTAATTGGACAATTCCAAAGGCACAACAGCATAAGAATTAAGCCCCTCCCAGTTAGAGGTGGGATCTTGATAAAAGTAGAAAAACGTTAAAGGTGCATTATGTAGAAATGAAGTAAAAATGACATCCTGTGGTAAAATTTGGTTACTGCAACTACTTTAAACAACCCTGGAGCTTTTTGCCAGCTGTCGTCAAATTTAAATTGTCACGTCCCTTCTTCCTTTGTTGTGAAAAGAGCCAGCTGGATATGAAATATATTCCAGTGTAACCTTCCTTCCAAAATGACAGAAACATTAGACTCTTTTGGTATTTTCTCACTAAAATTCTCACTACATTCTTACATAATGCACCTGGGCTGCATGGTGACACAGTGGTTAGCACTGTTGCCTCGCAGCACGAAGGTTGCAGGTTCAAAACTCAGCTCGGCTGCAGCCTTTCTGTGTGGAGTTGCGTGTTCTCCCCATGCATGAGTGGGTTTCCTCCGGGTACTCCGGTTTCCCCCACAGATCACAACACGCCCTATAGGTTATAAATTGTAAGTCGCTTTGGATAAAAGCGTCTGCTAAATGAATAAACATAAACCTTTAATGTTTGTGGGAATGATGGAAGCTGAGTGAAGGTTTTAAACAGGATGACTAACGCCGTCCTAAAGGAAAATTTGTTTCCAAACTCAGAACTGCTGCTTTTGTATGAATCACAAATCAAAAAGGTTTACCGTATTTTCCGGACTAAAAGTCACACTTTTTTTCATAGTCTGGCTGGTCCTGTGACTTATATACCAATTTATGTATACCGCGCTGCTGCGGGCTAGCTCCGGGCCAGGAATGAGCTTCCCTGCCCCGCCATCACCTGCGGGAGACCGTGGCGCGCTGCTGCGCCCTGGTTGTTTATTCTGTTATTGTTACCGGTACTTGTCTTGCAATGTGAAAAGCTTGGTCTCAGATTTAGTAAGAAAAATAGAAAAATTTCACCCCGCAATGCGACTTATATATGTTTTTTCTTCTTCATTATACATTTTATGGTTGGTGCAACTTATACTCCGGAGCAACTTATACTCCGGAAAATACGGTAGTTACGAAATTCCTCATGGAAGTTTGACAGCCAAAACATGTATAGAAATAAATTTCTTCTTCATACATTCTCCTGCAATGCCCTGGTCCTGTAGAATGAGCCCTGGCATTTTTACTGTGATTGCCTGTTTTTCTGTAAAATCACAGAAAAAGAGAGCTGCTCGGGCCGAGCAGGCTGCTTCATGCGCGTTCACGCTCAGGCATAGCCCTCCGAACTGTTCTTTGAACGTTGTTTCAGCTATCATCAAGGATATAAATGTTACAGATACAGAAGACACCACTGGTGATTTAGCTCGCCTAGTAAGACTTCGGGCTTACGTGCAGAAGTCCCGGGTTCGATTCTGGATGTGAACATAGTGGTTTTAGAGTTTATTTTTTACATTAATGATATTTTTTTTACAGTAAGATGCCCAAATTTTTATTTGAGACTCGCCAAACGGCATTCAATTCACAGATAAAAAAGATGTGGGTTCAACTTTCATTTTGGAACAATTTTTCAAGCAAGGGAAGGGAATGATCTGAGCATGCAGGAGGACTGACCCATCTTAAACCTTTGTCGGCTGTGCTGAAGAGAAAGGTACAGAACCAAATTATTTACTTAATCAGCTGCGTATTCTCCTGTCCTCTGTCCTCCGGGCCACACACACACACACACACACACACACACACACACACACACACACACACACACACACACACACACACACACACACACACACACACACACACACACACACACACACACACACACACACACACAACACACACACACACACACACACACACACACACACACACACACACAAGGGACTGTCAGCTCTCAGAGCTCTGTGAAGCTGACCCCCGTCAGCTTCACAGAGCTTTGTCTCAGCTGTTATTTTCGTTAAGGAGTGTGCACGTACAGCATGCGCGCCTCGTGCACGAGCCTCCTATTGAAGCTGCCGTTACGCTTTTGGCTCGAGGGGGCAATCGCGAGCATAAAAATTCAAAACTCCGTAAAGTCCCTTTAAGTATAAAAAAAGATGCAAATATTCTATGGAACTTGGATTGGGACAATATTACATGTAACTTGTACCAAGCTTTGTAACCTGTAACATGTTTTGTAACTGTAACTTTCATTTTGTAACTTGTAATTCTCGTTTTGTAACACGTAACTTTTGTTTTGTAACTTGCAGAAAACAATCAATGTACAAGTTTGAAATTACAACTCTGAAAACACACATTTCAGTCTACAGTTACAAAACTTAAGTCTACAAGTGCAAAAAATGTTGTCCCAATTCCAGCTTCCTTCCCAAAAAACTGGCTTCGTCTGACCAGCCAGTCATGAGTCTTGGATTCCTGTCCAAGACAATTCCTGTTCGAAGCAAGCTAGAATTGGGACAATTGCACCACGTACGTTACGAAAAAAGAAACTTTAAATAACTTTAAAGTAACTTTAAAAAGAAGCAAACTGAAGAAAACATAGGGAGTACTGAAGAAACGTGAACAGTGAAGCAAGCACAGAGAGAACCGTTACTGTCTGTGTGTGTGTGTGCGTGGATGGACCAGACGCAGACTGAGCTGTGAGCTCCCGGCTGCAGAGTTTTGTGTGTAGGGAGGGGCGGGCGCTCTATTGACTGGCCAATCACAGAGCGTGAAGACAGTCAGTTACCCAATGAGGATTTTCCTTCAGCACGATTACAGATATGTACGAGTTTTACTCGTTTCATGCTCATACTCGTCAAAAATGCTTTATCCGTACCGGATACTCGTCTGAAACGAGTATCCGGCTCATCCCTAATTTACCTGTTACGAAATTAAAGTTACGTTACAAAACGTGAATTACATGCTACAAAACAAAAGTCACAGTTACAAAACATGTTACAAGTTACACATTTTAGTACAAGTTAAATGTAATAGTCCCAATCCTAGTTCCACAATTTTCGGCCAAAGTGTACCTGGCACGGTGACAAAGAACTTGACGGCATCCCGGTGTCCATGGAAACAGAGCTGGGCATGGGCCATGGAGCAGTACGGCACGAAGCTGCTAGACACATCCAAACACTCGTCGCCGTAAACGCGCACCGCACTGCCGGGGCGATTTGGCACCGCCCCCGCTGTCTTGTTAGCTGAAGGATAAAAAAGATATTGACAAAAATTTCATATGAGAGCCTGATCTGTCTGAGCGGTGCTGAAGCTGTGAGAGCTGAAGGTTTTCACATCAACACACAAAAGCAGGATGACACAGTCACACTTTTATTATTACAAACAATCTATTCTTTATTCATGTAAAAGCCTGTTATTGAGACGTCGGTATCCATGGCAACTCTTTTATTCCACAGGTTGATCTGTCTGACCTTGTTTTAGAGGAAATATGAGACAGAGGCAAGGAGAAGACAGACAGATGCTGGAAGATCTGAGAGAGAAGGTGAGGACATGGTTTCAGGGTCAGCCAGGGTCATCAGTGGGCACGGTGCAGATGAGAACCACGGCGTTTCTGTCTGACCTACAACATCTGATCTAAATAGCTGAATGTTACCTTCAGACAGCGGGATGGAGATGATGACGCCATTTCCTGTTCCCACCCACAGCCGACAGCAGGACACCACCAGAGCTGTGATCCTCACAAAAGAGAAGCCCAGTTTACCCGTTCCTGCAGAAAACACCAGAAGCTCAGAACCTACTAGAACCATGCAGCTTCTCCTCTGATCCGCTCTCCTTTAACACTGAATCGGAGTGGAGGTCAGCGGTCGTACCCAGCATCTTGCTGACGTAAGGCTCGATGTCCACGTCCTGCAGGTGCTGATAGGTGTGAGCGTGAAACAAGCGCAGGGTAGAATCCAGGCGGATGGACACCCAGATCCCGTCTCCCACCCACGCCAGCTGGCGCACCTGGCTCTCTTTACGGGGATGAGCGTCGAACGACTTCTGCTCCGGAGAGAAAGATCGACATCAGGAGACCTGAAGAGCCGCAGGTCATGTGACTCACACGACGGGAAGCTTGTTGGCGCTGTACTGTATGTACCTCTATCCTCATGGCTTTGGGCTGGATGACGTAGATCTTGTTCCTGTAGCCGCACCACACCTTGTCGTGGACCACGGTCATACAGCGGATGGAGTGGTGGGGTCGGCCCAGATCCAACAGGTGATAGTTGGTCAGGTCCCACTGACCATCTGGAAAATGAAAACAAAAACAGTTTCATGAAAACCTAAATCCACGACAACAATGTTTTTTTGAATGTTTCTGACACAAACCAACACTGACCAATGCTTCTGTGGAAAATCGCTAATGTCCCATCGGCCAACGCCACCAAAACTCTCCCTTTGATGTGTCTGAAACACACAACAAATACATTTCCACTTTTAAACGAGTAAACCAACATTAGTTATACGAGTTGTTTTGTTTTAAACTCAGGCGTGGACTTACACAATGCCGAGGATGGAGTCCTTTAGCTTGATGGCATGAAGACACTTCCTCCATCGCGCCACAGACGAGTGCACATACAGACTACAGAATAAAGGCAGGTTGAGCTTAGTTCATGTGACGCTGCAGTAACAGCTCCCCCTGGTGGCCGGTGACTTACTCACCATCCGTTCTGAGCTCCGAGCCACATGGTGGGCAGAGCGCTGCTCATCCTCAGGACTTCCCCCTCTGATGCGTCCATGTCCTCTGACTGGGATGTCTCTCCGTCTTGTCCACAGCCCCTGAAGACAGATGAGTCATCCAGACAAGGCGTCTCAGCTCACGATCCTGAAGTTTTTACTTTGGATTCCCAACCAGAGAATAAAATACACATTTGTCTGCAGATCACCCCGAGACGGGAACTTTCTCACCTCTGTGCTTCAGCGGGCGAGTCAGTGGGCCCCACCCCCAGAGGGTCGGTGAACACGTGCTCCGTGTAGATCCCCGGTTGGTTTGGATCCGCTCCCTGATCCTCCTGGTCGTCCTCACCCACACCAGCGTCGGCCTCTGTTGCCTCGGTGGCCTCCTCTGCTGTCGGAACGCCGTCCTCTGCTGGACTGGACTCTCTGGACAGCTCGACTGTGGGTGAAGGGAACAACGACGGCCACATCAGTCAGAACCCGCCTCGGACCTTTAGGTGTGCACTAAACCTTTTTGGTACAGAAAGTAGGCTGATTAAATAGATTGCTGCTGTTTTAGAGCCCTAATTAAACCATTAACGGAGCATGTTTCAGCGTTTGTGTCCCACTGAAGCATGCTAACATACATTAGGCCTTATTTATTGATAAATAACAGATCTAACAGGCAGCTTATGAGGCACAAGCTCCAAATGAACTGATTAGATGTTTATTTTATCTGACAGGACTTTAATGCTTGTGGCTAATAGGTCAGGAGTCAACAGTTTAAGAATCAAAATGAGTTCGGATCCTGTTCAGTTTTAGACTTCTGCTGTTTCCTGCTGAGGTAAACGTCTTCCAGCAGCAGTCTACCTGAGCCCGATGCGGCACCGTGCTCCGCCTGCTGGTCGGTGGCACCTGAGCTGGCGATCTGAGCAACAGCGGCGATGCCTTCTGTTGCCATGGCACCGTCGCTGCCTGTTGAGCCAACGCTCGCAACACTACCAGCCAGTGACACGCCATCTCCTTGGCTGGCCTCTGAGTCCTGAGGTACCCCGTCTCCTCCTGGATAATCAGTATCCAAAACGCCTGAAAACACACAAACAGCCTCATGAATCACAAACCAAAGACGGAATCAGTCAGATAAGGCAGCTCTTTGACCTGCCTGGTGACCTTTGACCTACCCGGTACACTGGCGATGCAGACGACATGCGTGTTGCAAGCATAGAAGCTGTCCATCAGGTCGGTGGGCTGAGTGGCGTCCAGCACCAAGACCTTGGTGGAGGAGTTTGTGCTCATGCAAACCCAAACTGTGCTGGACACCTCGTCCTGCAGGATCAGGTCCTTCTCCCCTCTCTCCTGGTTGTAAAAAACAAAGCCACAGTCACCTCACGACATCATCTCCTACTTGATCCTGGGACCTCACCTTGTTCTCCTGGTCCAGCTGGTCCAGGCTGCTCTGAGAACCTTTGGTCTGCTTGGAGAGCTCAGACGAGGAAACCGCCCTTCCTCCGGACAGGTTGACCCCTGCAGCACACCACAGCTGAGGAGCAACGAGAACGTCTTTACACTCAGAATATTATTAACAAATCATATCTGCTTCTTTTATCTAAAATATCCACGTACGCACCTTCATAGAAGCATCTTTCTGGTCCAAGGGCCGCAGGTAAACCGGGACAGGTAAGTTCACCTTGTTTTCCATCTGTCCTCCATTTGTAACCTGTGGAGGTGAAAGCCAGGCAGTCAGGTGGGATTTAAAGCTTTAAACTCACACCTTTATTTATAACCCATAGGTCGTCTTCCTATGAAACTCTACTAAATACTATTATTAGAACTATTTTACAACTTGGCTGATGAAATGAGCTCTCCCGAACTCACCACCTCAGCTCTGTGACTGCTCCCAGGCAGACTTAAGCCCTCATGCTGCCTTCATAGATGCAAACATCACTCAGAGACGAGAGGTAGCTCAGGGCTTGTCGTGATGATTGCATGTGGGCTTTTAAAAAGTATAACCTTTATTTCCGTGATTAAGAAAAACATCACAACCTTTTTTATTGTTTTGGTAACAAAGAGAAAAGGAAAAATAAAATAAAATAACTGATGCAATAGATTAAAAATGAATGCCACTGCAGAGCAACTTTTATTTAGAGGTTTTAATTTGTGCAGCCTTCATTCTGACAGCTGCTACACTAACGTGAAAAGGTGTGATGAGAGTTTGATATTTTCAGACGCTCATAGCGACATTAACCCGCCAAAGACGGCAATCTCAAGAGTGATGATAAACTGACACATTTACACTTTAATCAAAATGTAGGGCCTCAAAATGAAAAAGAATATAGATGCTGAAATGATCAGAAAAGGGAAAAACGTCTCAGCTTCACCTCTGACCTCGCTAAAAGACCCAATCCCAACACTCGCACTGCGCACAACGATCAAGTGCACTTGGAGGAAGTGTGCAGTAAGGCTTCGAGCGCGTGGTGCACAGGTGTGAAAATAACTGGTGAATAGAGACAAGGAGCATTGCTACTGATGCTGGTCTCTGTGTTGCTTCAAAAAAAACCTTTATTAACAACTTCCAAAACAAACAAATATTTTGAAATAAAATTGCATTCATTGCTGCTTTGCCGAAAACGTTCAGAGCATCAACTAATATTCCTAAAATGAACTAATTTCATTTGAAAATACATATTTTCAGAGAAGGCACTTGAGCCTTTTCTCCCGCAGCAACGGACTGTTGGTACTTATCGATGTGAGAAAGCTGCATGACCAGCTTCTGCACTTGAGAATCAGGACGCTCTACACACTCGCATCCCTGGCTGGGATGATGCAATTGAAGGGCGCAGGAGTGGAAGTGCGAGTATTGGGATCGGGCCCAAGCCTGTCAGATGCAAGAACGCTGCTCTGTGACTTCCTTCCTGTTTCAGCACCACATACAGGTCTGGAGGAGTCACTGCAGCGTTTTAGGTTTATACCTGAGTTTATGCATAGAGGAAGACATTTTTAGAAACAGGGATACTTTAGAAAACCGTGTTTCAGTGTGGACGAAGCCTCAGAGCAACAAAAGGAACACCAGCTGTACTCCTGACTGGTGCTTAAAGGTTGAGGGGGCACCTTGTGTTTGCTGGGCAGGCTCCAGCCGTGCACCGTGACCCGCCCATCCTCCTTCTGCATGTGGGCCTTGACCTGCTGGTACTGAGCCTTCTTCTGCTCCTTACGGGAGGGAGAGCTGCACTGATCTGCCCTACAAAACCACCAGAAAGCAAAATGTCTTCTGTAAACACAAACACACACACACATCGCTGACCCCTTACTCACCCTTCGTTGAGGAAGTCGAAGGTCTTGGACTTCTCTGTGGGGAACTGAGAGAAGGTGCTGCTCCGCTTCACCATGCTGCCTGGGGTGTTGTACTTCACATTGGACGGGTACTCCACCTTCTTCATAGCGGGGGAGCTGGAGGAGGAGCTAAACAGTCTGCTGAAGCTGCAGGAGAGTTCCAGAAAAACCAGGAGGGAAACAACGGGAGAGCGGGGAGGCAAGGCAGGGGAGGGAGGGTCACCAACCAGACAATAACGCAGCACCAGATATCACCAACACTGACCATACAGTGACGAACACTACAGCATGCTGTTCAAAATGAGTTTGTGCTCTTGCCTGATCAATTATAATAGCATCGTCATGGCAACACATTTAACCCTTTACAGCCTGACTGATGAAATATTCAGTAAAGAGTATTTCTAATAGAACTGTTAGTTGGATAATTATCATCTAATATTTAGTTCTAATCCTGTTAAAGAGGCACAACGACACATAATCTGGCATTAAAGATACTATTTAACACTCTTAATATTACAAAACTGAAGATATTTATGAATTAGTCTGACAGCGCCTCGTTTACCTCCACAACCTTTACGGGACGTGGTGCTGCACAAGTGAGCAACGCCGGTTTCCTACCGGAAACATAGCGGCGCTAAACGGCAGCGGCACAGCTTCCTCGCTGTGCTCTTCGCCGGACTTGCGAGATCACACAATCCCTTAAGACTTCAGGGCACGGTTTGTTTGTGGAACCCGCCATTAAACCAAAAAGATGGAATTCACGTTTGATATCGCTGTTTGATGTCATATATGATGATGTTCCTCTCCACTGCCAGGATTAAAGCCATGAAAAACACACAGCTGCACTTCTGAAACGACGCTTTAAGTAAATCAGCCGTTGGGTCACACGCACTTTCACATAAATGAAAATTGTATCGCTGCAGTACTTTTATTTTGAAATTTACCGCTGATTTTACACTGAAACCGTGTGTGATTTCCTGTCTAGCCCTATGTTAACTGTGGAAATTGGCGCATCCCAGAAGCGGGTTGTGGCAAAAGTAGAACCCGAACCGATCTTTAGCAGCGCGGCACGCCGCACCTGGAAATTGGCGCGTAGCTGCTGGTTTGGAACACTCCACGGACTATAATGGATTCTATCTGAAAGAGCAAGTCAACCCCAAATCACTTTTTTTTTTGCTGATAAACTATATAAAGGAGTGTCTAATCATGCTGCAGACACGTGTAGTCAATAATTTGGCAGTTCAGTGCATCTTGGTTAAAATTCACATATTCTTCCTAAAACTGTCAGTGTTGCGCCGTCGTCAGGGAAAAATTCTGCACTGTATTTGAATTTAAATCTGCCACTGCTATTGGCTAAGAGGTATGCTATGATGTCATCTGGTATATTGTGATGTCATAATTCCATTGTGAGCCTGTGTGTGTGTGTATTTGTTAGCGGCTCCGCCCTCTCGGTCTGCTAAGCAACAGCATTTGTTGCATTTTTCAAACATGAAGTGGGAGTGAAGTAAGTTTCTTGTAGGGGGTGACTTGCTCTTGAAGCAGTTCCGTTCTGCGCCGCTGATGCTTTCTGTGTGAGACTGGGGTCAGTCTGCAGAGCAGCTTGATTTACTAAACACAACCTCGGATAAAAGCTACTAAAAACGATGCATCAATAAATAAAAATGTCTTCATTTGCAGAACTTTCCTAATTAAATTCTAATTTATGCTTTTATCTGATTAAACTGAGTTCATCCACACCAAAGCGACCAGAGTCGTGTCTTTGTAGAACGATGAACATTTATGGGTGAAACTTTCAGATAAAATTATTTTCACAGAATTATTCTAAGTGGACCTACAGGTTTAAATAAAATTGTCTTTCAAGCTGGTTGAATTCAAGTTTTTAGGAAAAAATGTATTTTCTCTAAAGAAAGCAGGAGAATGAACAGAAATGTGTTTGTTTTTATCCATTGAAACTGTTTGTATCCCGCTTGGTTCACTTATCAGCTGCACAGTGAAATCATATAGAACAAGGTATGAATTTAAATGTGTTTAAATAACCAAACTAAACACAAAGATGCAGCTTTCTCGGACTTTCACTCCTAAACTTCAAAGAAAAGTTGAAATAAAATGCTCGTTGATGACATCCTTTAAGTTGACCTTGAATAACGAAATTGGAATTTAAACGAGTCGACCTGCAGCTCAGCTGAGAGCGGACAGCACAGAAAAACACGACAAGGCACAGAGCAGGCAGGAGACGAGGAAAGCCCAGAGACACAAGGAGAGCTTCGTCTGAGTTAGTGGTGACAATGCAAAGGCTGCAGATGAAAGTGCTTCAGAGACTTTTAGGAACGGTTTGTCTGTTAGTCGGGTTTCTGCTAAACTCGAGGTCTTTAAATGACGTTTACCTAATGCTGCAAATTCAGAAGCAAATCCCCGAAAATCAAACAAAAACACAAGATGATGTTTCAACATTTCAGAAACGCGTCGACGTGGAGAACGAGTTAGCAGCATCACCAGAGTAAAGGACTCACAACTGCCAGATGCTGGATTTCTTTTTCTCCGTCAGAGCTGGATTTTCCCTTGAAGCCCTGCAGAAGACGACCAGATGATGTCACGATAGCAGCTGACGACGGTTCCTTTTAGACCATCCCCTCCACCCCGTCTTTACCTGATCATCTCAGTCCACCTCACAGCCTCCTGCAGCTCCATCAGCCGCTCCTTGTACTGGTTCCTCTCCATTAAGACTCTGGCCATCTCCACTCTGGTGAAGCGCTTCCTCTGAGCTGTAGGTACGTCACTCTGAGGGCACACACAGTTAAAAACAGAAACATCAGTTCAGGACTGGAAGTGAAACATAATTCTCCTGTTGGAGTGATGAAGACTCACATTTTCTTCATCTTTGCTTTTCTGCCTCACCTCCGCCACCTCCAGTCGGACTCTGGAAAAGATCATTTATTACATTTACTCTGTTTTCCCACTCAGAAGTGGTGAAGTCAGGGATCTAGATGGGTTCCCACTTCTTAAGCTCCTCCTCCAGCTCCTTGTTCATCTCCTCCAGCTTGGTCTTGGCCAGCTGCACAGCCTCCATCTCCCCCTGAAGCATCTCCTTCTCACACGTCAGCTCGTCCACCCTCAGGATCAGGTCCTTGTTAACCACGTTCAAGGCATTCCTGGAAGAAGGGGACGTTTAGTCGTAAAGTAATGATGAACCACAACAAGAAAAGAAAACTATTCAGACTCTACACTTACTTTGTTTCGAGCAGTTGGGAATTCTCCTGAATTAGATTTTCTACTTCCTTTCCCATTCCTGGAGAGGAACGAAAGCAAAATTAGCATTTCACTATAGAGAGAAGGACATCAACGACACTCTAGAGCTACTCAGGCAATCTTAACAGAAATTTTCTACAGAAGGATGTTTATTTTTTTTGTTTCTCAGCTTTGAAAATTAAAGGCACCCTACGAGATTCTTTTACTGGAACGTTTTTGGCCACATTAGTTGAAATGCTCTCCATATACTGATGACAACCAATAAATTAAATGTTTTGTCAAAAAAAAAAAGAGAAAAATTTGAATAATCTCAGAAACACACAGTCCTAGAATAACCTCATCCAATCCAGTGCCGGTCCCCCTTCTTAATGATTGGCTTACATAACATATCCATCCAACTGCTCTGCTGAACGTCTCTCACCCTCAGTTACTGGGACAGCAGAAGCTCAGGACGTAGGGCGGGTTGTCCAGTAATCGGAAGGTTGCAGGTCCGACCACAGAATGCTGCTGTGTTGTGTCCTTGGGCAAGACACTTAACCCACCTTGCCTGCTGGTGGTGGCCGGAGGGACCGGTGGCGCCAGCGCTCGGCAGCCTCGCCTCTGTCAGTGCGCCCTGGGGCAGCTGTAGCTACATCGTAGCTCATCCCCACCAGCGTGTGAATGTGTGTGTGAATGGGTGAGTGACTGATTGTGTTGTGAAGCGCCTTGGGGGGTTGTAGAACCCTAAGAAGGCGCTATACAAATACAGGCCATTTACCGTTTACCCACAAAACGCTCTTTCTCGACACAGCAGCTAAACAGGAAGTTCGCTGTGCTGCATAGTAACACAGATAGAATGTCTCATTTAGTTGAGCCATTGCTAAATACCCAAGTACACTAGTATGCTCTTGTGTACTTGTCAAGTATGTTCTTTGCAAGTACATCAGAAAGTTCGTTCTACCGAGTTCATGGCAACAAGCGCTGCTTTATGCTATACGGTTAAGAAAACAACCGGAAATAAACATAAGTGTCCTTTAAAAAACAAAATAACAAATATTACATCATTTGCCGTCCACGTTTCATTAAAATGAATACAACACCAGCATCTCCAGCAGTTATATGAAGAAAAAAATGTCTCTCATCAAAACAGAGCAACACTGTTTTTTGTGCTAATGTGTTAGCTAATTAGCAGTTTGAGGTATTGTGAAGAAAAATACCAAATTAAACACAATAACAAAGTTAGATTTATTTATTTAGATGCAATGTTCGTATTTTCGATATAAAAAAACTACAATTAAAAGCTTTCTCCTCTGTCATTTTTTTTTTGTTTGCGGTATAACGTTTACAACGCAATGCATTGAGGGATACACAGTCGGCCCAAGTCTGCATTGAGGCATCCTTTGTCTCCTTCCGTGTGTCTGTCACAAGCAGGTGTACCATTTTCTGCACCTATCTGATTCTGTGACCCTGGGGAGGAGCCTGTAAAGAGGGCGGGACCTCTGAGTTGTTCTGATTGTTGAGTGAATACTATAAAGTTTTACTTTGACAATAAAAGAGAAATTGTTTTAACTTTGTTCTGGAAATAAAATTTAATTTTTTATCAACATTTTGACTCATTCTGAAAATCTTTTGGCTTTTTCCTTAACATTCTGACCTCCTCCTAAAAAAAACAACTTTAACTTTGAAACTGTGAAACAACTAAACAAAAATCCTTCTTTCTTCCTGAATCTGAATGGCTCTAATATCAGAGCTATGACTACTTTAGCACTACAGACTATTCATGCTACAAATCCAACACGTATGTGAAGTATCTCCTAGACATTTTACTTACTACACGTTTAACATAAACTACCAACAGGAATGGCACCACAGCACGGCTCACATGACTGACAGGAGAAGAATGGACAGAGTGGATGTGCTTCTTACCAATCAAACTAAGGTCTGAGAAAACCATGCAATCCCAAGTCAGGCAGAAGAGGACAGCGAGAAAGAGAGACATGTGGACACAGTTTGAGTGAAATGACCAAAATAACGAAGGAGCCAGAGCTAAATGTGAAGCAGCTGACTCCTCAAGCTGAAAAAAAAAAACAGCTGCCATATTTAGGGTAGTTACATTTTATATTTGCAGGAGAAAGAAGAGCAGAGGAAAAAACACAAGGGCAAGAAATAAAATCTGCAAAAGGAACCATTACAGATCATCGTCCATGCAGGCAAATTGGTAAAAAACAAAAGATGCTGAAGAATATAGATTGTGCTCAGGAAGCTGAAGCTTAGAGGTGGATTATAAATGCAGGGGGAAAATAAGTTAAACAGACATTACAGAAAAATAAAGTAGCAGGATGAGCAAAGGTCAGAGGTCATACACACCAGAGTACTCCACTTGGATGAGAATGAGACAGAAGAGAGAGAGAGGGGTGATGTTAGCCTGAGCAGAGAGCTAAGAGAGCAGACAGAGGAACGGCAGCCGGAGCTGAAACAGCCGGGAGATAATCTGCTGCTGCTGGGATTAAATATGGAGTTAGTCAAACTGAGTCACAGCTGGTTAGGAGGGGACAAGCACAGATCAGTTATTTCAGAGTAAAGTAACATTCGTGGTAAAGCTCTTGGTTTGTGCAGACTTGACTTTAACTATTGCAGCAAATTAACATGCTGCATAATAATTATGAAACTTTATTTTCAGTTATCTAGATTAGGAGTGTGCACAAGAAACCCATTTGCAACAAATATGATTAAAAATTGATTTGGGTGTATTTAAACCTTATAAAACATTCTGAGACCACCACATATAGGTTGTTTGGAAAGTTTGTATTTGTATTACCGTATTGACCTGAATATAAGACGAGGATTTTTTCATTGAAAATAATTTTTAAATGTGGGGTCGTCTTATGATCCGGATCTAACCATTACACGCTTGTAACAGCAGAGGGCGCCACGCTGTGTGTTCTCAACGGGAGAAAAAAAAATGGAGCAGAGAGGTCTGGAGAAAACGGGGGCAGCAGTAGCTCAACAGGTTCAGCGGGTTGTCCAGCAATCGGAAGATTGCAGGTTCGATCCCAGCTCTGGACAGCGAATTCTGCTGTTGTGTCCTCGGGCAAGATACTTAAGCTTGGTTTATGCTTGACGCATTCACTTTCCGCGCGGTGATGCGGCTCGCGGATGGAACGCACTTCACAACTCGCAGCTTTTATGGTTCGTGCGGCTTGTCTCTGCGGTGAGCCAATATTCTCCCAAACTGAACGGGGCAGCATGGAGCTCTACGGCATGCATCCAACACTTCACCGTAGTAGAAGTAGAAATTACTGTTTACAATATGGCATTCCAGCATTTTTAACAGCGTCCTCGTCTTTTCCGAAAGTGCGAGCTATTTCTCTCCAAGAATTATTAACTACTTGTTGATCACGGTGATCTCTGAGAGCTGAATCATATAATTGTCTGTGTTTACGAACCTCTGCCATACTAGTTCTTGCCGGTCCGCCATGTTTTTCCGCGTCCGTCCATCCGCGTGGTGAGAAATTTTCTGAGGTGCGCGTTGCGGAAATCTTGGGCCGTGCGGAGACGCGGTGGAGGGGCGTGGTTGTTAAAATGACGCAAAATGACGCAACTTTTACGTGTGGACCCGTGCGGACCTCGCAGACGCGTCAAGCATAAACCAACCTTTAACCCGCCTTGCCTGCTGGTGGTGGTCGGAGGGACCGGTGGCGCCTGCGCTCGGCAGCCTCGCCTCTGTCAGTGCGCCCCACGGCAACTTTAGCTACATCGTAGCTCATCACCATCAGTGTGTGTGAATGGATGAATGATACACTGTAGTGTAAAGCGCTTTGGAGTCCTTAGTCTGAGAGGCGCTATACAAGTGCGGGTCATGCAAATTTTAAGATGATGGTGGTCAATTCAGCAGCATACGTGGATGAATTGGATGGCAGCGAGGATGACGTTCTGGGAGGAGTCGGCAGGTGTAGCGATCTGATGGCACACTGGGACCGCAGCAGCATGAGTAGGCAGAGGGCGTCTGAATAAAAGCCTCATTTGACTTTTGATTTCACATGTCAGCAAAGTTCTGATAATCTGCATTAAAATAGTATTTTTGCTCAAATTTTCAACAAAAATAGTTTATTTCAAAAGTTTTTTTCCCCCTTTCCTAAAGATTAGTCTTGGAAAGGGGGGTCGTCATATATTCGGGTCAATACGGTAATTAAAACTCATTTACTGCCTTTTTTTTTTTTTTTTACTGTGTGGACGTCGGAACGAGCCTTCGCACCGTGAGAACAAACATCTCAGCTCTAAAGCCGATCGTCATCCGCATACGCCACACGTCACGTGATCAGGAAGCAGAAAATCCATGAGTTAGGAGATCATTTTGGGCCGCTGCTGTAGAGGTGCGAACCGGAAAAGCTTCTGCCGATCACAATTCGACAACGGATTATGAAAGAACGGATAAGGCTCGAAACGCGCGGATTCTTCCTGATGTCAGAGGTTAGTCTCCGCTTTGTTTTGGTGTCCACATCATCATAGAGCGCAACGTTATGTGACTCTTAAAATAAACAGTGAAAACGCTGAAAAACGCTGGCAGTTAATGAGTAAAAAAATAAAAGTATAACTGTTTACTGGGAGAGAACGTATTTGTTTTATAGAATATTATAATGAGGTATCCATCCATCCATCAATTTTCTGCCGCTTATCCGGGGTCGGGTCGCGGGGGCTGTAGCCTAAGCAGGGAGGCACAGACTTCCTTCGTCCCCGCTACTTGGGCCAGCTCCTCCGGGGGAATCCTAAAGCGTTCTCTGGCGGGCCGTGAGACATGGATCCTCCAGCATGCCCTTTGACCTTAGCCTTGAAAGGTTGAGTTTGAATGCTGTGAAATTCTAAATTAGCGACAAAAGGTAATGCTAAAAAGAAGCACGTAAAACATCCATGTAGATCATTTTCAAACTGGCCTTTTCGTTAGAGGAAAAAGTTACAAACACAAAGCAAACCAATAAATTAGTGAATGTTTGGAGAGAAACGTGTCACTTCAAAAACAGTCAAATAATAAAATAATCCAACCATCGTACCAAAACTGTTTCCTGTGAACTCACCGAGAAGATCAGCTCCTTCGTCCACGTCCCCGATCAGTCCGGTGCCCGCAGAAGACAGCTCCTCAAACAGCGAGTCTGTGTTCCTGTCAAACGCCATGTTCTCAATGCCTTTGGTAGGAGTACTGAAAACAGGACAACAGGGGGTGTGACGCTACATCTCTGACCCACACCAGCCCAGCGGTGTGCTTCTTGCTCTACCTGCAGGGTTTGTATCCAATGAGGTCCATGTCCAGCTCGGGAGTGGACTCAATTATGTCTTTAACTTCAGAATTTTCCTCATTTTCAGGCAAACCTGCACAAGACACACAACAGGTGAGTGTAAGAGGAATAAAAGTATGAGCGGGTGAACGTTTTCTAAACCTCTCTATGAAGAAGGTGAGGAAATGCATCAAAACCACTGATTTTATAACAACTGAACCTACCCACTGATATGGTTCTGGTCCCCGGTGCAGCCTGCACCTCTGTGCTCCGGCTGTTCCCATCCCTCCCCTGCATGTCTGAGGTGGACGTACCAGTGAGGTCTGATAATTCATCCTGTAATCAAAACCAAACGTGCAGCATACGGTCCAAACGACAACATCAATGAACTGATACCAAAATAAAACTAACAAGTGTACAGAACACTAACTAGGCCACACGATGTGAGGGGAAACGGAAACAACTGAACAGGTTACAGTGATAGTTCAGATCTTCTGAAGATGTTTCTGTGGAACAGTTAGTATCTTACCTGCTGCAGATAGCTCTATGAAAAGCCTCAGCTGGGAGAAACAGAGTTAAACTGACTGACAGGCTAACAGCTAGTCTGCTATCTTAAAACAACCCTAAAGTCTCAGAGCTAGTCATGTTATGTAAAAACACCTTTAATAATTAGTGGCAGAGCTACCTTTCTGTAACACTTCCTGTCAGTCCCACATCCAACCCGCCTCCACTTGTTGATTAATTATTCATTTAAACAAAAGGATGTCATTTACAATCAAATATACTTATATACATGTGTTGTATTCCGGAAGAACAGGCTTTTTCGTGTATCATATTTCCCATTTTTCAAATGCAGTGAAGAGTTTTTACCTGACAACGGCACAACACTGACAGTTTCAGGCAGAAAATTTAAATTTTAACTAAAGTGCACTAAAGTGCAAAACTATTGGTGGATTCGGTAAGGGGTCAGAACAGAACGAGAAGAGAGAAGTGCGGAACGAACGCCACGGGGAAAGGAGCCCTGCAGGCTCCTGTTCTCCCACCACGCTATTTCTGTCAAGCCAGACAGAATAGCTGAAATGCAACCCGCTAACGCAGACTCGTCCCAGAGTCTTTTGATTTCTGAGTTAATTTAAACGTGAGAAAGCGCATCTGCCGAAACGCTTCAGCAGTGTGTACTGAGGTCAACTCTGGACTGGACCGTCGCACGCCTTCGTCTTCTCTGTCAGCCAAGGTGGCATCTGGAGAACCATCCTCCTTCGAGGTCCGGATCTAAAAGAGGGTCCTAAGTGCGGTGAGGCAGAACACGACCAGATAGCGTTCTGATGCTGTTTTTCTAATAAGAACTAAAGTTTAACTGCAAAACATCATTTTTCACTCAGTTCACGTTCCCTCTCCCTGAAGCAATCTCAGACACCTGCATGCACGCATTCATAATTCCATCATCCTCAATCTTAGCGCATCCAACACAAGGTCTATTTGAGCAAGCCTAAAATATCAACTGTTAAAGATTGTCCAAAAAGGTTGCCAATGTTGATCGTTTTTCCTACGATTGTCAGTTCAAATCGTTAGTTTAAATTGAAGAAATTAATCTCTTAAAATTTAAACTTGCCTTTTCATTGAACTGAAACACAGACAAACGGATATGATCATCAGTTTATCGATGAAAACAACCTTTGAGTCTTCTTATCTCTATATTAATTTGTTAAAATTAATATTCCAGATTATTATGTAGAATGGTTCATCTTTCATAAAAGAGCCAACAACCATTACGCTACACATGTAATTTGAAACTGGCGGCTGCATAAATAAAAATCTAATTTGCACGAGATAGAATTAAACTAGAAATGTTTTGTGATGATGAACAAAAAAAATTTACTTTTGAAGTCTCCTTCAGGCAAGATAATACTTGTTCATAAACTTTCCACAGAAACCCAGTTCAAAAGGTCCGAATAATGTATTTAATGTGAGATGTGAACAAACAGAGGTAGACAAACATGGCTACTATTTCTGAGAGCCAACCTTTTACTCTCTGTAGGAACAAAAATAACTATTAAGGACATTTAAACACACTCAGAAACATAGAAGGATGGGTCTGGGTGAAAATGGAGCTTATAAAAGTAGACAACAACTCCAAAAGCACCGTGGGCAGGTTCAACATCAGATTATTATCACAGAGCTAGCACCCAAACACACAACATCACTACAACAACACAACACCAATTCCACAAATAAAAGCAACAACATGAGCCATCAATCTACATCTACAACACAAATGTACAGAAAGAGAACCACAGACGTCTCACAAGGAGCTGAAACTAAAAACCTGCAAAAGTCCAGTGGTGCAAACCTAGAGCAGGAAGCGGTGCAGCTTTAAATGTGCGTTAGTGTTTGATGGCATGATAGCTAATGTTAGAAAAAAAAACACGAATGAAGCAAAAACAAATTCATTCCAAATGAAATAACAATTAAGAAGCCAGATGCAACCAATCTGTCCCTGAACTTCACATCAATAATTAAGCACTCCTGGCTTCAGACAGGACATGGTTGCATGTGGCTCTGCAAAGCACAGGAGCTCCACGGGGGGCGGGGGTGTCCTTTAAACATATGAGGCGGGACTTTGAAAAAAGACAGTGAGACAAAACTAGTGAAGCCCACACATGCACACAGGAACTGTGCAGAAGCGCCGGCGCTCATTCAACTACCTTGCAGTCGTCTGCCAGTGAATTCCCCCAAGTAGGGTCCTGCTCACTCTTACTCCCCCTTTCCTTTGGGGGGTCGGCAAAGTCCAACTGCTTGGGGGGAAAGTAAGAATGAAGCTTGCACGTGCAGAAGCAGTTCAACAGAAATGTGCACACCTAAAAGTGTGCACGTCTGTGAAGTGAATGGAGACGCCTGTCTGTGTGCATTTATATAGCATCTCCCCTGCTTTTGCTGTAAATATCATTTTACAGAACCAGAAAAAATAATCCTCTTGGATTAAAAAAGGGGGCGGAGCTTATTGCACTACACTGAAGCCAGCCACTGGAGAGTGGTGTACTTAATATTCATGTTGGTGGTGTTTATGTGTGTTTTAAACTCACTGGATGGTTGGTTTTTTAACTACAATAAACATTATTTGATTATTAATTTAATATACAGTATCGCCCCATAATGAGTTTTTTCAACTTAATATTATAAAAGTTTATTACTTCAATTATCAAAAGCATCTAATTGGTTAAAACTATGATTTAAGGAGGGAGTAATGCCTAAATAAACTTTTTTTTGCTGATAACCTGTATAGATGAGTGTCTAATAGTGCTGTAGACATGTGTAATCATTAGTGTGGCAGTTTAGTGCAACTTACTTTAAATTTAATACTTCAGCCCAAAACCATAATTATATCTCCATCTTCAGGTTAAAACTCTGCTCCACATTTATGTAGAGCCAGCAGTGGCCGATGGCTGAGCTGAAAAACGTGACGTTGTCAGCAAATGACTACGTTGCTGCACCGCACTGGTCTCCAGGTGAGGCAGCCGCACCTCCACCTGGCTCAGCCACTCACCTGCCGATATGACACACTGGCTCTCTGAGCCGCTCGCCTCCTTGAAAAAAATGCCCTCCTCCCCTTCTTCATCTAATGATCGTGGTTAACAGGAAATCCTCCAGAATGCTGCAGAATCTGTGTCTGCTTTGGTCCTGAGCGGTAAGTCTTGTGTGAGTGCATGCTTGTGCGCACGTTAACAACTCGTTTTTAGATTGAGAAACTCCGGGGGGGGGGATTTAGGGGGTGCGGTCTACCACTGCCTCAGTGCTGCTCTCTAGGTCCACCAGGCGACGCCTCTTTCAGAAGCGTTTTCCTAACAGGAAGTGTGGATGAAATACGTCTCAACCCATCCATTGACCCTAACTTTAATAAAATGTAAATAGAGCATTTGTAGTTATTTATGGTTGTATTTGAAAGGCAGTTGAATAACTGTCAAAAAAAATAAAGAAATCTTTGATTCTTTTAACTAATTATTATAACTTCACAAAATGGTCTTTTAAATCAAGTTGACAGTTAATCAGTTAATAAACTGATAAAATATTTCATTTTTATATTAGGAATTAGTATCATTAAATCATTTTATCATACTCATTTATTAAAATTGATCTAATTTGCCATTTGGAGCACATTTTATTAATAAAAGGGTGAACAATCTAAACAGGTTTAACCAGAAAGTCTGCCAAGACATGTTATAATGACATAAAAGTAAATGACTACTGAAAATGACTATTAAAAAATTTCAGATCCATAATTACCGTGTTTCTTGTCAGAATGTTAACAGTTATCAGAGAAACTGTTCCTGTAAATGATAATTAATACATTTTCATCGTTGATGTATTTACCTGATTCTCCCTCATTTAAATAAAATGCAGTGATTCTGACAGCATTATGTGATAAAACTGGTAATAAAGGCGATGAAATGTCTTTCTTAACGAGACTCATCAAAGTGGATGGACATCAGAGATCATGACTGACCTGCGGCCACATGCTTGTAACAAATCTGCTGCTACTCTTCCCATAAAACTGATCTCCATAAACATGGCGTCTTTGTTTAACTCACTCGTGTTGAAAACGGCCTCAACAATAACAGACCTGTAATCGTGATTACATAAGAGCCAATCAGCCTTTGTCTCTCAGAGACTGGCTGCGTGCCCTGCATCAGCATCACTCCCATCATGCACTGCGCTGCACAGCTGATGTCCCAGTTTTAGCCAAAACGCAGCGGTGGAATAAAATAAAGACGCCCTGCATGTTCCACCTGCTACAGACACTAAAAACTTTAGATTTCTAAATAAAACAACGTTAATAGAAATGATTACGGTTCAGAAACCAGCTGTTTTTAAATCTCTTTAAACTGAAACTGAATCCAGATAATAAGCAGAATCAAAAGCCATAAATATTCATGTGGCAGATTTAATTATGTCCTCCGACCACTACACCGGGGGACGTCTGCATATTCATCAGCAGCCGAAGTGGAGTCAGATAACAGAGGTGGCCTTGTCACACGCTGATTAAAAAACACACAGATCTCATCAAAGACGCTCTTATTCTGAAAGGGGTCAAAGCCAAAAACACATCTACAGAAATCAGGCTACTCTCAACAGGCTGCAGAGGACAGGACTTTGGGCCTAACAGATTACAGATTATTTAATCTGCGATTGATAGATGTTGTCCTGTTGAGCTAAAATGATTAACAGCATCAGGACTCTTTTCAGTCACGTCAGTAAGTCATGACATCATGGACTATGAAGCAGAAGCATTCTTCTCTGATGAAACAAATCCAACATGGCACCACCACACCCACCTTGAGGCTGGTGTTGGAGCGCAGCTGAGAGGACTCGGTGAGCCTCCAGCCTTCGGCGCTGGGAGTCTCTGCTCTGGTGTGGGAATCTGGGATTATCAGAGACGCTCCACCAGATGAAGGGAAAATCCCCAAAGACAGAGGTCGCTCTCTCCTTAAGAGACACAAAAATCAGACAACAGGTCTGCTGTGGCTCACTTATTCCATAAAACATAAACGTTGCACAAACGTGTCTCACCTGACTCGACCGATGCTGCTTGACTCTGAAGTCTCGCTTATCTGCTGCAGTTTGATCCTCTCTACATGCTCCATGTAGTTATGGATCATCTGTGGAGTGGAGGTAAAAACCAAAAACAAACCTGTTGGATTATTGATTCTAACTCCACGCCGTTTCCTCTCCTCACCTCTGAGTGCCGCTGATGGAGGGAGTTGTACTCCTTCTTCAGTTCTACTTCTCGTTCTTCTAACCTGCCGTCTGAAAGAAACACAAACACCTGTCGGTTTAAGATGCTTCCATTTTGCTAAAGAAATGTAAAAATCTCACAAAAACAAGAACTGGGATTAAATGACCCAAAATTAACTCACACACATTTGCATTAACATTGGACAAATTGTAATAAAAGCTTAAATAAGTTGTGATTTTACTCAACCAGGCAGGAGCTTTGGGAGGAGGACGGAAAATCAAAACGGGGTTTTAGCGTTGAGCTGACTTGTGAAGCTAATCCTGTGTTAGCACATCAGCTTTAGCTCCCACCATGTCGAGCTGATTGTGGAGCAACGCCTGAATCAGTCACGGCAGCTAAAGCTTCTGCGTTGTGTCTGGCGATGACACACCCAAGTGTTTGACCTGACAACTCAGATGCTGCTGGGAATTTCTGGAGATGAGGGACGAAGTGAGACTTTGAGAGTCTTGTTGCTGACCATGTCCATCCCTGTATGACCACATGGACCCATCTTCTGACGGTTACTTCCAGCAGGATGAAGCATCGTTTCACAAAGATCACATCATCTCTACCTGGTTTCTGGAACATGACCACAAGTTCACTGGACTCCAACGACCTCCACAGTCCAGATCTCTAGACTGGTGGAAAACCCCATTTATTCAAGCAGTCAGCTGACTTCCTGTTTTAGGCGGTGTTTATGAACTCACACTGATGCTCTATTTTCAGTCTGTCCCTGTTTTGCGGCATCCCTCTGAAAGAGAACCAGTCTGGATCCATTCACCACCTGGCCTGACCTTTATTCCACCGCTCCAGAGCAGAAGGCCAATTAGCCACCATTTTTAAATAATCTATCAGCCATGCCCGTGCTTGCTTATGATTCCCAAGAAGGGACAGGAAAATGCAGCAACAGCTGAAACCTCCAGTTTGTTGTTGAGTTCATGAAAACTAGAAAAGACTGTTTATGTTTAAAATGAAGTGATCAGGTGTTTTTCAGTAAGCAGTGAAATAAAAGTGTAATGATGCTTTACTTCTGTCAGACGGAAATAAAAATGGTCATAAAATAAAAAAACGAGGTTTGTATTTCAGCTAAGATTTACAGCCCCCATAGAGAAAGAGTCCACATCTATAAAACCCCTCCACGGTTTGGTCCCAATACTTTAGTTCTTCTTCCTCATTAAGCATTTGATTTGTTGACTGAGTGAATATTTCAGCTATTTCGGTGATCCGAATCATTCAAGACATTTGTTTCCTAACTGAATTTCTTCCCAAAGATGTTTGTGATTACCCTCCTAGGTTTTAAAAAGCCTTGGAGGAATCGGTGCCTAAACACTAAAATTCAGCTGTCTCCTTTTTGTATTCTTATGTTATTTGAAACTTTTATTTGTGAAAAACATATTTTCCACAATCCCAGGATGTGTCTTCTAACACCGGCGAGAAGCTGCTCCATCATGGGAGGATCTATTGGGACGTGTGTGTTCAGGTAGCCGGTGAGTAATAAACATCGGTTTATAACGCTAAAGTCAACCCAAAAAGGAAACGGTGTTATTTCCCTGATGTGTGGAATGTATTTAAAGCCTGTTTAGTTTTAAGTCCCACGCAGTGGCTCTTGGACTGGACTGGTTTGTGTAGATTTACAAATATTCATCAGGGCAGGTCAGATGTTAATATCACAGTAATTAGGGCTGCACAAAATATCACAAATATATCCTTATCGCAATATCAGCGTGCCAATATGGCATATATGCATATAGCAAGAATAAATATCGCAAAGAACGGTCAGCTCAAATGTTTGCTACGCATAATGTAATCTGTCAATCAAACGGAAGCATGATTTTTTTTTTTACAAATCAAATGGAGCTCTTCACCCATTTGACCAATTGGGTGGGTTCTCATATTTTAGATGCCCGCCCCCGAGGCAGACGCACTTAATTGATGATTAGAAAATAGGGCTGAAGGATTAATGGCACATGCTATTTAATTGCAATGTGACGAAAAGGAGATTTTCTTATCGCAAAGGCTGCGATTTGACTGGCAGCGAGTGGTTAGCACAATGCTAATATACATGGAAAACCCCATAGGGATGCTAACGCTAATATCGCCAATTGCATTCTTACAAATTACAAATTAGGAACGTTCCAAATGATTACATTTGGAGTCCAATAAAATATAAAAACTGCCATCAATCAAATAGGTACAGACAGATATTTTAGTAAAGCTTGAAAACCGTAAGAGACTTTAATTTTCACTGAGTTTTGGCTAGCAGCTATGGACGTAAGAAGAAGAAGAAAGTACCATTTCTATAGCGCCTCTCAAGATAAAAATCACGAGGCACTTAACAAAAACAAAAATTTAAAATATAAAAAAGCATTTAGAAAATGTTTAAAAATATATTTAAAATGAACAAAAATAGAGAAAGTGAATAGGAAAGAGGGAAATCAGTGGATCCTGAGGAAGGTGGAATAGGTGGGGAGAGCAGAATAAAGAGAGAGTGGTGAAGGTCATACAAAAAACTGAACTACAGAAGCTCTGCATGGACAAGACGTCAAAAATTATAAACACAAAAGACTTCAATAAACGGGACACACAGAAGCTGCTGATTCTGCTTTTCCCAGGATCCACGGATTACCTTTTCTTGTTCATTTTCTTTTTCCCTTTCCTCACATCTTTTGCTTATCTCATTTTTATGATTTATTTTTTGTCATTTTTTAATTTCTTTGTTTTTGACTATTTTTGTTCCTGAGTCAAGTTTTTATTTATCGCAACTAATATCATCGCAATTAGGGTTGTCACGGTATGAAAATTTAACCTCACGGTTATTGTGACCAAAATTATCACGGTTTTCGGTATTATCGCGGTATTTTTTTAACGGTGTTGCATATGTTCAGAAAGCATTGATAGTCCTGTTCTACACAAACTGAAATAGTTCTGAAAAGCTTTAACAGTGTTTATTAAACCTAAAATAACACAAAGCCTTAGCAAAAGTGCAACTTTTCACATGTAAAGGAACAAATAGCTTATTTTTCTGGAACATGTTACAGTAGTCAGTGCAGGTTTAAATTATACAAATCCAAACATTCGAAACATAAACAATATGTAAACAAATCATAGAAACACCACTTGTTTTCTCATATACTTGTTTTCTTCATTATCAAAATGAAAATCTAAAACTCCAGTCCACACTTGACTTGAGCGCTGTACAAGTCAACCTTAAAAAATATGAATTTAAAATAAATAGCCACTTTAAACAAATTACTAAAATAACTACTACACTATGTAATCAAATCCAAATGTTCAAGTATAAATGGCATTGAATAAGTAAACAAATCAATGACAAGGAACTAATTGTATATTTCTCTTCATCATCAATAAATAAGATGCTTCATCCAGCAACAGGGTGTCCGTGACACGGTTTAAATGCTGGCAGAGGACGCTGCGGCTGCAGTATATAGTGACTCGTTGCATTCTCCGTCAACCAAAAGTCCTCACGTCATGCATTTAAGCTAAAATGCTAATGTTAACTTACCTTGCACTGGCTGTAGAGACGTGGGTGATGGTCACTCAGATGTGCCTTTAGATTCGAAGTGTTGCTGCCTTTTGCAGACACTTGTTTCCTGCACGTTCTGCAAACGGGATAGCCGTCTTCTATTAACTGTCCCTCAGCATTTTTCAGAAATCCAAAATATGCCCATACTTCCGATTTAGTCTTCTTTGAGGGCTGATGGATGTCCTGGGCGCTGCCGTCTCCTCCTTCGGCCATTATTTCAGCTTCAAAGTTTTGGTGCCGTTGCAAATTAAAAAGTGCGTGTGCGCGCCGCGGGAACTTCAGCTGAAGCGACGGTGGCTGGTAAGGGTCATCGCGCCGAAACCGCGGCCACGGTAAACCCACCGAG